TTGGCTTCATAATAGGTGACACTAAATATGTCTGATCCGTTTTTTTTGCGTTCGACTCTAAAAGCTCGGAAATTTATCAGTAGCCAAATTTGTTTCACTTTATTCAGCTTATTATCACAATTCATTATATCATCTTTTCCTGTACCAGGTTTGTCATGCATCAATGGCTCCAAAAGATGGTTTAGTAAATCAATCTGAACAAATAGAATTGGCTGTGAATTTCTTCTATTGTGTGTGTGTGTGTGTGTGTGTGTGTGTGTGTGTTCTTACAAAAGCTTCAAGTGTAGATAATATTTTTAGACTTGATTGTATGGTAAGAATATGGTCTGATGACTGTCACACTGTAGTGACAAATATACTTTAGCTCAATAAAAATGTGTGTGATTCAGTTTAACGTTTTTTTTTTATTTGCCTAATCTATTCTATCTAATTAATGTAAGAGTGGCATAAGATCATGTAGGTTGGTTTAATTAGATTTTTATTATTTTTCCCTATGAGGAATGATATATATTTCTTATTTATACAAGTATATATATATAATATTTTTTATTTTATATACGCGGTATAATATTTAATCAACAATCATCTGAAGCATCGAGTATATTGAAAAGATGAATTATTTAATATATAGTATCTAAAGTTTTGATGAAAAATAAAATAATTATTTATAAATTAAGTTTGCTCATTTTACAATTCCTTTACTCATATGATAAAAGTACGATAAAAGTTTAATATACATATCCATTTGCAGAAAAAATAAATAAATAAAAGCACTATTATTTTATTATTAATGATCAGTTTGAAAATATATAAAAATAAAAAAATAAATTAAAGCACATATATACAGATATACAATTTAATGTATTAATTTTAAAAACATTTCATATTGTGCAATGGGCTCACTCAACTTATTAAACTCATTAAACTCATTAAAAACATTTTAATTTTGAGAACTAAACTTAAAATACCTTTAATATACTATATATATTAAATTAGAGTAGTTATATATTTAATTTTGAATTATGATATATATATATATATATATATATATATTAATCTTGAGCAGTAAGTGGTTAAGATTCAAATTATCAATATTAGCTTAATATATACTACTTTTATATTCTAGACATATGATTTTAAGTATTCTAGACATGATTCTAGAATTTATATAAGATTAACAACAATTTATATAAGATTAAATTGCCTAATTATGATTCAAGCTTATCATGTAGGAATGACTTTTTTTTTAAAA